TCACTCCTGCCCCACAGCTGCTGCCCCCCCAGCCCTGCCAGGGCCCCTCCCTCCCTCCCCACAACCCAGCCCTGCCCCCTGCCCTGCTGCTGTCCCTCCACTGTCACCCCACAGCCCTCCCGCTCCCCCAGAGGAGCACTGGAGGATCGCTGCCACACTGCGAATGACCGGGAGCGACAGCCTCAGAGCAGGAGAGGGCGGAGGCTCAGGCAGGCGCGAGGGCCAGGGACTCCTTGGGGAGGGCTAAGAGGGCTAAGAGCCGCGGAGCCCGGGATCCATCGCTGGCTCTGGGAGGGGCGCGGGCTCTAGCCCCACAGTAGGAGCCAGGACTCCTGGGTTCTCTTCGTCGACTGGATCCCCTTGGTGTGAAACCCCCGCGGGGACCCCTGGGCCCCACGGCGCGCCTGCGATCTCCCCCACCGAAGTCTCGCTGCCCCTGCTTGTCTGGCGGGGGCCCAACCCAGCCGCCAGACCCTTACGCCTGCCATTAACGTCTCTCTCTCTGTCTCTCCTCCCCTGCTTCCTGGACGGCTGGGGTAATGTAGAAGAAAATCATGATTATAATTTGTTGTGTGGTCCTTGGAGTAGTTCTTGCTTCCACAATTGGGGGGACTCTGGGGTTGTAAATTAAAGCAAAAAATATATAATAATAATATAATAATTTAAAGACAAATTGTACATGCAATGGCTACAACAGCACATGTTCCAGCTACCTATCCACACACCCCTTGTGGGTCAGCAAATCTAAGTTTCTTGTTCTCCACCATCCTTCCATCCATCTCTCCATCTCCCGGATGCCTGGGTTCGCCCCGGATCTTCTGCCACCCTTGATCACTGGTAGGAGGGGGGGGATTTGTCCCACAACCAACCTTTGAGCAGACAGTGACCCAAAGCTTTGGTTCCTCTTCGCACCGGGGTTGAGTCTGGCAGGGGCGGGCGTTAATCTGTCCTGGGCTAGCCCTGTCGTCTTTCGGGTTCTGCTTGAGCTGCTGTGGCCAGTAGAGAGAGGAATCACCGTCACTCAGTCGTTATGGGAAAAAAATGCCACGCGGTCATGGTGAGGAAGGCCGGAGTGGCTGCCAATCAGCCGTTCTGAAAAAATACCCGAGTATTCTAGGAAATACTAGAGTAACTGAGTATTAGCGTCGATACTAGCACCCGGTGGAAAACGGCAGTAGTCCCCCGTCTGTCGTTATAGAAAACAATACCTACGAACGATCGGAAAGACGAGAGCAGCAGAATACTGCAATATCCGCACTAAAATATTCCGCAATCTCTGAAGGGTTGTATCGGAGGAAAACGAGATTGCTACGCAAAATACTAGAGTAACAGAAAACGTAGGGTCGATACAAGAGCGCTGAGGAGTTCGAGAGCCCCCAAGAATACCCGAGTATGAATGACACACAAGCCCCGCCAAACGAATCCTGCAATACCCAGGGAAAGTAGAGGCCTAGTGTTAGCACGGAACGGAGACCCCAGCATCCTAGTATCAATGCTGCAGTATCAGACAGGCTGCAGGGCCCTTGCGGCCGTTCCTAAGAATGCTGCTAGCGCTCCGAGTACTTTGGTATCGATGCGACCGAGGCCGGGGGTATCAGAGCACTAGGACCCAAACGGCGTCAGCCAGCGGATCCGGGAAGACTGAAGTATTTATTCTTACTGCAGTAGCCAGGGCGGCTGGAGTAGAACAGTGACAGCGTCAGAGTGTTCCAAGTAGCCCTGGGTCAGAAGAGATAAGAGGGCTAGAAAGCACGCGGGTTTCCAGAGACCAGCCAGGGCCCCTGCCACGTGCCGGGGG